GCTGTCCACGTTCATGTTGTTTCTTATTCCATAAGAAAAGCCGAGCTACTGATTATACCTGTTACCCAGCCTCCTGCAGTCAAGTAAACATCCTCAAAATTCCTATTTAAGATATACATGCCAGCTTCCTGGTCGGCAACATCACATGAATAAATCATATTTGCTGAAAAGGTTTAACCTCACCTTACCGGCATGTCTCCAATACAAATTCTCAAAAGCCACTTCTGAGAATGGCAACAAGAAGGTGCGGCCAAAGCCAAACTCCTCACAAGGAATTGTGAATAATGAAAAGGGATGAAGAAACACAGGGAGAAGGTGCTTCGGAGTGGAGGTGAGCTGGGTACATGTGAGCGGAGCGAGGAGGTTTGAACGGCCGCAAAGTCAAAAAATGCGTGAGTCAGTGCGGCCAAGAACGTGTTCTGCCTCTTTGAAATGAGATGCAGACGCCGGGTGCTAAACACTTGATCCTAGAAAAGCGGCTGAACGAGGGCGTCCCCGGCATGTATTCCCTCTACCACTGACACAGTGGTGGAGGAGGGGGGGCGGGGGGACAAACGTCCCTGTTCAGGGACAGCACCCCAGCTGTCGGCGGCAGGCCCGCTGTCTCTCGTCAACGAGGGTTTTTAATTGCGAGAAGAAGGAGCAGAAGAACGTCTCTGTGCCATAATGGCCGGCGGTGCAGCCGCCTTCAATCCACAGCCTCTGTAGCCGTTCCACTCGCAAATTCAATTACGGGAATGATTCATCCTTCTATTATGATAACTGTCAGCTTTTCTCGTGTCATACAATAAGGCAGAAGGGGAAAAAACAAATGATTTGCCAGCCCCCCCACCGTCACCTTTTTCCTCTCCTTCGTCTCACCCGCCCTCACCCCTCAAGCTGCTTTTCTTCATCTCAGTTCTTTTTCTCTTTCTCTGCGTCCCCCTCTTTTTGCCTCGCTATCGCTCATCCTGCTTCCTCTGTCTTAGTCCCTGTTCATCCTCTGCTCATCTGCCCGGGGGTGTGAGGGGCGATAGCGTTCTCTCATTTTCCCATTTTCTCCATGTCTTTCTCCCTCCCTCTCTGGCCCTCCCTTTGCCTCCTCTCCCTCTCCTACCACACACACACACACACACACACACGCACACACACACACACACACACACACACACACACACACACACACACACACACACACACACACACACACACACACACTCCCTCCTTCTCGCCCACACTCTTTCTAGATAATTAAGATCTCTGATTTTACGGTTTTCTCTTTCATAATAGGCACTGCAGACACTACAAGCAAGACACCCAAGTCTCCGCGCGCGCACACTCACACGCACTCACACACACATACATATACACGCATATGCAGTCACTCGGCCACATTAATCAGCAAACACACACAAATATGCATGTGCCTTTAAATGCACACTAAGATGAAAACATGCACCAAACGAATAAATCTCCAACTAGGATGAATGTCCCCCTCTCTCTCTCTCTCTCTCTCTCGCTCTCTCTCTCCCGCCTACAGTAGACACACTCTTTCGCACACAGCGAGTCTGGATATTTCTGCTTTTGTGTATTTGGTCCCGGGTGATTTACAGCAGGGTGCAGGATGAAAGCGAGCGAGGGGAAGCAGTGGTTTTTGTGCAGCGCAGAGGAGTGTGGCTGCACTTGGCCCTCTCTCTGTTCCAGCTATGCAGACTGACACCCGACTGCTACCGGGACTCAGCTGCGTGCTTCTACAGCAACAGAGCATGTAACAGCAGCCAGACACACAGTCCTCGCAGATTAAACACAGCAATAATATTGACTCTCAGTCCCTCCCCCCTTCAGTAACACATTGTGCTCTCTCTCTCTCTCTCGCGCGCTTTCTCTGTCCTGCAGTGTTGGATGAAGTTCTCTGATCCTTAAGTAAAACCACAAATGGCACAATGTAAAAATAGCCTTGCTTTGACAAACGTTACCAAAGTAAAGTGTTATTTGAGGTGCATTGTATACTTACTGTAATGCATCGAAAGTCCACATTACGCAAAAGAGCCCCGTTCATAGAGATTTTAATCAGGTCTCGTTTGGATCAAGATCTCCTTTTTTTTAGAGAGAAATGGTAATATCTTAACTTGCATACAATAACAGAACATCGGCTAAACATTTAATCAAATAACAAATATAATCCTAAATAAAATAAAATCCTCTTTAAAATGTGAAAAGGGGGAATTTAGCAGGCAGCTTTTTCCATTCACTAGGTTGTGTATTTGCTTTATGTTGTTGTATTTGATGTATATGTGCACACTATGGAATATCTAAGAACATAAGTGTCAGAGGTCACGTGATCTCACACTATTTCTTTTGATGAATTAGATGCACTGTGAATCATATTTGTATCTTCTTGCAGAGCTTGAACCACACACGCACACACACACACACACACACACACACACACATGCAAACGCACACGCACACACGCACACACGCGCACACACACACAGACTGATGAAGAAATCTGCGAGAGATTGAAGCAGCATAAAATGAACCTCGGACTCACTCAGCCTTCCGACTAGCTATTAGAGTCCAACACCAAGTTTAAGTATTAAGTGGATCACTTAAATGGAGTTGCTGCGAGAAAAGAGGGGGGAGGTAGAGTAAAAGCTTTTCTTGTTTTCAGCGATGCCATAAAGCCTAACACACATTGTGATAAACAGTGTTTAGCTGCTGACGTAGAGTGTACAGTGTGACTATAACAAGTGTTTCCAATATAATACATTTTATTATTGATTCCTTTGAATCATTGTAATATAAAAGTATCATTTAAATGTGGCAACCCTGCGAGGAGGATCATATTTTAACTGCTCAATGCTATGACAATGTAATACATCATGTAATCACGTACTTCCTTACAGTAGGTTAATATTATTTCTGCAAAGTAATTATTAACTTGCCAATACATAGTGTTTAAGTAATAACTTCCACTGAAATGCAGAGCGTATACCTGAATGCAGCACTTCAGTAAATGGTTACTTTGCAGTGCTGTTCTTTTTCTTCTCTCTGTCTCCATCCGGCTGTTCTCTCATCCCCCATCGTACCCATTACCGTTCCCTCCTCCTTTTTTTATCCACCTACCAAACCCCCCCCACCGCCCCATCACCTCCCCTCCACATCCTCTGTAATTTTCTCTATCTAATGCTGTCAATACCTCTCAATAACAATGAAATATCATGGTTCGATCCCGGATTGATGAAGGCACATCCTCAGTGAGGACCTTATTTGTCATCATGGCAATCTGCTTCTTGGTAATAGCCAATCAGGTGTCTCCTGTGAGATGCAGTGCTCCCATGATAGGTTCCCCGTTGTTTTGATCGACTGCACCAAGGCCCGCCACTTCAGCTGGGCTCGATCGATACGCCATCACACTCACGCGTAACACACACACACACACACACGCACACGCATAGACGCACACTGCATGTGGACACACTTTGATGAAGACTAAATCGAGAAAGGGACCACTGACGGGGGCGCAAACTGAACACAGTAGCAACAGCCGGCACAATGGAGCGCCGTGTGACAGCAGTGTGCTGTAGGCATCTCACTGTGGGGTTGGAATAATCAGCTCTTGCATGAAAGTCTCCGTAGAACATGTGCACAATTATGCACACGCACGTGACAACAACGTGCAACTGTGTCTTTCTTTTTGCAATATTGCTTCGGAGGAACAAAATAGATTTGGCCAGTGCCAGTTATCATATGTTGTGTCTCACATACAAATGACCTCCCATTAGCCCAGCCTCCGCTCACATTGAGCATCTCTGACCATAATGAGAGCAACACAGCCATCTGCACAGTATGGCGCATGCTGTTAGTGTTATAAAGAAAGAGAGAAAGAAACGTAGGTAGGTAAGTGTACAGAAAGCAGGAGAAAAGAAGAAGTATGGTTGGTTTATGAGACTTGGGTCTTAGATATTTTTGATGTGCTTGAAAGGTTTGGTGAAAAAAATACAGAACTGAAAGTTAAAAGGCTGTAGAGGAAAAAAGGGAAGAATGGCGGTGGGAGGGGCGCTCAACACAGTGAGTAACAGTTCGCATTGTATTCTTTGATGTACACACAAGCGTATGCGAAAACAGACAACGCCAATGTATTTCCTTTCCCCCGTGTGCTTGTCAAGGCCAAAGGGCAGCGTTCTCCAACTCCAGCATCCCTGTGTCGACAGCCGCAGGGGTCAACCGAAGGCCATCAACCGAGTCTGTCCGTCTGTAGCTCTAATCGGTGAATCAGACTTTTGAAACATTCCCAGGTCAGCAGACCCCACTAACACCTCCTCAACCCCCCTGTCTGTCACACAACACTCCCTCTCCTCTCTGTCCTCACCCCTTCCCTTCATCTCGCCGTCCTTTTACACTAGCCTGTCAACATGTCTGTCGGAGCAAGGTCATGTCACTCCTCAAGACAACTGCTTAGCACCTGTGGAGCTCGGCTGAGCTCTCCTCGAGTGCTTCTTTCTGGTGGCTGCTTGTCTGATTGGTACTCTGCGTAGGGGGATAGTTTATGGAAAACGTGCAAACGGGTTTTGTTCAATGTGTGGGCGTGTATTCAAAGCCGCTGTCTTTGTGTTTTGCAGGCACTTTCCAAGGTATTCATTCATATCTGCGCCGACATGTGTGCCCGCAGCCGTGATCTTGTTGGTGAACCCCTTGGAGATTACTTCAAGTCTGAGCCCTGTCACTTTTAAAGCAGCAGACTCGCTGCTGTATGGAGATGTGTTTAGAGAATTTCATTATTAAAGAGGCAGTGCGCATTGGGCTCAGCTGCCTCTGTGATATGACAGTGAACATCTTCATAGCTCAGTGTGAAAGTCTGTTGTATGTGCTGTCAAATCACAGGTGCTCCCGCTACCCAGAAATACAGCCGAGCAGACTGAACACAAGCAGCGGGATTTCAATTTGAAGTGAGACATCTTGCACCAGGAGATTGATTGCGCTCCCAGTAACGTGCAGTGTGCCCTCCGATCCCGTAGGTGGTGGTACAGGCAGCCGTCAGAACATTCTCCATGAGGAGCAGTAGAAGATGCCGGCTCTGCCAGCACTGCTGCTGTCAATACACGTCGTCGCCTTCCTGTTAGTCACCCTGCTGCCCAGCTCCCTCAGTCAGGCCCCTTTGCTCTCCTCTGTCCGAATGGGTGAGTGGCCAGCCGTCCATCCGTCCTTACTACGCCTACATCAGAAAGGTTCTCAACATACTCCACATGTGGCTTTTTTTGGACTTTGGACCTGAGCAATAATAATATTGTGACCAGAAAAATGTTTGATAGAGCTGTTTGCTCTTCTGTAAATGCAATATTAACAGTGAAAGTACCTATTCTTAAAAAAAGCATCCATCACGAGCAGGAAGAGCCATGCAGCATACAAATTTTAGAATTTGGAATGTAGAATTTACAACTGTCAATATGTTACATGTTGTCTGAACAACTAGACAAAATAATACAAACATACCACTGACTTGAGGACTTGAGCTTTGCAGCAAGCTGCCATTATACACATGAAATGAATTGTTCTACTTGGAGTACTCCCATGCTTTCTGATAGAGAGCCAAATGGGGAAACAATCACCAATCTCTCTCTTTCCTCTCTGCCTTTCTAGCGGCCATCCTGGATGACCAGTCTGTTTGTGGCCGTGGGGAGCGGCTGGCGTTGGCCCTGGCCAGGGAGAACATCAACAGCGTGATGGAGGCTCCGTCCAGAGCCCGAGTGGAGGTGGACATATACGAGCTGCAGAAAGACTCCCAGTACGACACTACTGACACCAGTGAGTGGAGCCGATGCACGTCAAAGAGAACCAGTCGAGCAGATTCCCCCAACCTGCCGGAGTGAATAAGTCCTAAATATACTATAGTCCAGCAGGGCATAGTCTCTAATTAGAACAGACAGAAAGTGACCACTGAAAATACCAGTAGCTCCTATTATTAATATGGACTATTAACATGAATAGTGACCGCTGTAGAGTACAAAAGAACACTAGTTTACAAAATTCTTCTGGTCATATTAGACTTAAAAATGGTTCCGCTATTTCAGATTTCCCTAAAAGCTGCCTTTTTGTTAGCAAAATCCTCAGATGATGACTTAAACGATAAACCTCCACCACTTTCATGTCATTAGCAGCCAGTAAAGGCTTGTGCTGATTAGTCTACATGTCATTGGAGACCAGTAATGGGCCAGAGAGCCTGTCTCATTAAAAACAGTGGACCAGTGCCCTCCAGTAACAGCTGGCACTGCCTACTCTGCCGGCAACGACAAAAACAAATCATCAAACACTAATACGGATCAGCAGTGCAGGACAGCAGAAAGCAAAGTCGCTCCATGAAATTTGTATTGATGACAGAATGTATGGAGTGTGTAAAGTGAGAAGCTGTACTGTTGAATCCTGTCACAGAGGAGACAAGGCGCTCGGCTGCGGTTCTAATAGGCCGCTGACCCTGTCACGAGCTACTGGCAAAATGTCTGTGTGCTTGAGAGGGGTCGGGAACATACGTGCATGCATGAATTGTGTGTGTTTATATGTGATTTTGTGCGTGTGCGCGCCCTTGACCGATGGGCAGGAGACTCTGATTGGCTTGTTGGCTCTCAGCGTTTTTTTTGTCTCTGGATCAGAGAGCTCATCATCTTACAGCTACACACGTCCAAACATGCACGCACTCCCAAACAGCCTCACACGCACAGGCATTTATACATGCATGCACGCGGATCCCTTTCTGCAGACACACATGCACAGACGCACACACATTGGCGTTCACACATATACAGGGACACACAGAGACAGAGATAATGGCATGGACTGAACAAAGCTAATTGGAATAATACCAACCAAATATGCCAGCAAGAAAACAGCTAACAACAATTAGACAAGCACAGTTAAGTCACCAGTATAATGACTGCTGTATCTGAGAAATCAATTTTCAGGTTAGTAGCCAGAAAACATGAACAAAAATAAAGTTACTACATAAAAATAAATCTGTGTAAAAGAATATATGTTCTCTGTATGCTAAAGGGTTTCAAAAATCCCACTGAGCACATGCTTTTTGTTGTAGTTTCACCTTAATACTGGAGCTCTGTTTCATGGCGACTCATTTCAATTTGAATCATGGAATTTTCATGGAGTTTTGTTTTCAAGTGTTTGACCTCTTAGAATTTCTTGCTTTAACATGAAACAAGTGTAATGAGCACATTGAGGAATTTGCCCAAAGGCAACGCAGGTGGGATTAATGGACAGAACTGGTATGCTTTTTTTATTGGTGCAAGTGGTTCCCGTCTGTGGATATGCGCTTATAACGGCACAGCACAATTTTAGGATTCCTACCAAATAATTGATTGACACGTTGATGGTCACTTTGCCAAAGTGGGGAAGCCCTGAAGGAATGTCATAGTCATGGTCTGTTAGGCACAGGTTCATACGTGTCGTACGACATGAGACATTGGCCTTCTTATCTGATTCAGAGAAAGAGAAAGAAAGTAAATAACCGTATCGATCAGTTACACGGACCGCAGGGCGGTCAATTTGTCAAGAAGAACACAGCTTGTCTCTTGCTCACTTACTTTAATCATGAATGTCTCCGTTCAACATAGTGGAGACGTATGTCGCATTTTGATTTAAAAATAAATAAATGAATATATATATATATATATATATATATATTTTTTTTTTTTTTTTTTTTTTTTTCCGGTTATGCTTAGCCCTGTGAATACTTCATCAAACAATTTAAAAACTTTAGCTGATATTTTTATTTTATTTAAAAAAACACAATACTCAAGCCTTATCTTTTCATCTATTGATTCTTTGGGCATTCAGAAGAGGTGCGAGATAATAAGCGTTATTTACAACTTGTTTTTTTGTGTTGACATGAATATATTATGAAAACATCCAAAATCAGTTTCTTCACAGAAGCCTCGAAACACGGATATCAAGATTCTGGTCATGGAGAGTGAAATTCATGCTTTGACACACTGTAAGCTGAATCATAGAGAAGGCGTTTACTCCAGCTATAATTGAGCAATTTATACTTAATTTCATAGAGAAATGTAAACCGTACCCCCATAATAATGTTTGCCTGCAAAAAAGGTAATGATGCAAATGGCATTTGTTAATTGAAGGCAAAGGCCCAATCTATTAAAGTTGTTTTGACGCCAGAGATAAAAAAAGAGAGCATAAAATCATCAAAAGCAGCTGTCCAGAAGTGAATAATGCCTGACGTGCCCTGTTTTAGTCTTTGCAGTATTTATCACTAAATAAATGACATTATAATGAGACGGATTGCGCTGCAACAATTGAATCAGTGCTTCAAGTGAAATCCTAATGAGTCCTCTCTTTTTTTGCTTCATTTGAACACCTTCAGTGAACACTTTCCCTTTTGCCAACGACAAAATGAAGCAGAGCTAAAGGTGTGTGTCGACATATCCGGTATTTATTTTCCCTTCTCCCCGTTTCAGTGTGTCAGATTCTACCCAAAGGCGTCGTCTCTGTGATAGGTCCCGCCTCCAGCCCCGCCTCCGGCTCTACTGTCAGTCATATATGTGGCGAAAAAGAGGTGAGTGCGGAAGACACGAACCTACACAAATATGTACAAATCTGTGTGTGTTGGTGTCTCATTGGCTACAGACATATCGTCCCTTTCTCCCTGAACTGCTCTGCCTCCTACTTCACTCCGTCTCATAATTAACCATCATCAAACTGTTTTGTCCTTTATTCCCAGAGCTTTTTATCCTTTTAGGTATCTCTCTTTTCACCCCGTAGCCTCTCTATTGGAGCTTCAACGTCCAGTATGTTAGACGGCCTTCCTCAACGTTTCTCTGTCCTCTCCTTTCCTCCCCCCTCTCTCCAACCTCCAGATCCCCCATGTCAAGATCGGTCCGGAGGAGACTCCCCGCTTGCCGTACCTGCGCTTTGCCTCTGTCACTCTGTACCCTAGCAACGAGGACCTGAGCCTGGCCATAGGAGCCATCTTGCGCTCGTTCAGTTACCCCTCAGCCAGCCTGGTCTGCGCCAAGGCCGAGTGTGAGTACACATGCAGCCTCTGTTCTAGACATGCAGCGCATTACGTGTGACTGTGTTTGTTGTTTGGGTGGGCGTTCTTGTGAGCTTGTTCATCTAATATGCGTGTGTGTGTGTGTATATATTAATGCCTCTGTGGGAGTGTTGGCACAGTCACACAGTTTGGGCGGATAGAACTGTGTTGTTCACAGTTGGACACTCATTTTGACAGTCTGGTCATCAAGTGCTGTCTGTTGTCAGAGTTCAGAGCACGGCTTCTGCTGCAGCCCGTTTTATTTTATTTACTCATGCTTGCACATCGTCTCTTATCCACCTCACAGGGGTTTTAGGCCAGACCAATCAACAAATATTGAAATATTGAATGCTGGAAAGCAGCATGGGAAGAATTGAAGGCAGATCAGATTTGGCTTGCCAGGCACGCAGAGAGCTTTAACATCACAGGGGATCCAGGGCTTAGTCACTAGCACTCTTCATTTACGAGGACGTTAATGATTTATTATGCAATGACCTGTTGAGAGTCCCAGGAATTAAAGGGCTCGGTCGGATAGGGGCCGTACTATTCAAATCAAACTTTTGTCAAGAGATAAAATAATACACTGTGTTCTGTAAGCCAAATCCATTTTTTTCCGTCCAGCTTGTCGTGCGAGTGATCTGATGTGCTGCTGTGGACTGCTCACATCAGCCAAGTTCAACAGCGCAAGAACTGAAGGGCAATTACTTAAAGAATAAGTGGGACCATTGAAGTCTTCTGGCGTCAATGTGAGAAAGATTGTGACAAACAAAGAGCTGTGACATTATGAGATATGTATTCACTCAATCAGATGTTTCCATTATCTCCCTAGCAGGTAGCCATCCACATGGTGCTTTTTTAGAAAGTAAGTTCCTAATGGAACTAGAAGAGCTTTGAAATGTGATCAGATTTCTCTGTATCTTCTTTTGATCATCCGTTCAATCTGTAGATAAGAGCGCTGTCTTCCACCAGGCCTTTTCTGTATACAATTAGAGGCTGCGGATAACATCATAGTTACTTACCAGGCACAAAGATGCAGCTTTTAACAGTGGAGAGACTGATGGCTGCGTTTGTGTAATATATTTTGCTTGAAGGTGATCTTTACAAGGTTATCACACTCACAGACTCTGACCCACTTGGCTGCGCTATCTATCGTCATGGAGCTGGTTGCCATGGCTGCAGAATAGGTGCTAACTGCCACTCAACAGGCTCGTTCCACACTCTGAACGACCGTGTGGGTGCGTGTGTGCGTGCGCGTGCGTGTGTGTATTTTTGAGTGCCTTTCTTCACTCGTACATGTGCGTGTGTTTGCTCGTTTGTGGATGTGCGCACTGGTGCGTGTCCCGTACGTGCGAGTGCGGTTTTGGGGTACTTGTATGGTTCTGTGAGTGTCTGCTGAGACTCTGCAGAGTATCAACATCAGACAATGTTCACCACCAGCTCACGTTTTATTCATCTTGTTTACCCCAGCGTGGAGCAGTGTGTTCAAGCGAAGCAGGCGTTCTATTTTCTTCCCGTCACCGAGGGGGAGCAACATGTGAAGTCATACATTTCATTTACACCGTGCACACATCCTGATTGAGTAACATATTTAGAAACGGGTCATTTTTAGCGACACCTTGTTGATAACATTATTGACGTTATTCCCCTTTCAGCCCAGGGACGTACAATAGATATGCTGTTAGATGAGAACGAGTTGGGTCATTTCCGACAAATCTTCACCTGCCGTGCCTGGGCCATAAAGCCCTATCTGAGCCTAATTCCATTATGCAGTGTTCATGAGATGGATGAAGGTGAGGACAGTGAGAGGGAGAGACTGAGCACAAGGGGATGTTGGCGGCGTAGAAGCGAGATGGATAAAGACAGAGAGAGGTAACTAGAGCACGGGGCTAAAGGGAGAGAGATGGCAAGGTATGTGTGCGGGGGAGAACATGTGAGAGTGGGCGAGAGCAGGAGAGGAAGCTGTAAAGTGCATTGATTTTTTTCCCCCTCCTTCTTCAAACTAATTAAAGTTTTGGCCTGGTTCAGTGATTACCCCACTGCTAACAGAGGCGTTCTCATTCTGAAGGGCTCTGCACACTACCTCTCCACCCGTCCCTCTGCCCTCCCCCTCCGTCTCCCAGACGCCTGCCCCACCACCTATTTACATAGCTAGGGGTGCTTTACTATGGAATTACAACTAGGGAACATCAGGTTAGACTTCATCGTGAAGGCTCATACCTTCTAACTTTCGGCCACAGTTTCTGTCTGTCATTTCTTTTTTCATTTTTTTGAACATATACTTTTTTTCATTGTACACATTCCTCAAATAACTGAAAAGCACAGCTTGATGGATGGATTACAAAGCACTCAAAGAGTGCATATCACTGCCAAGGCTGAACAACTCTAGATTTATTAAACTATTAATACAACATGTTTAGAAATTTGTCATACTGATTGGCCGATGCCCCCCATCAATTTGGGATGATACCGTAAACCCCCCTGGGAATATTAGGGCTTCGTACAAGGATGAATTTCAGTTGAGTCGGACGCATAACCACTAAGTTATAGTTATATTTTGTCATCTTCGTGTAGTACCATATGGCTAGAATGTCATCAGAGTTTGATGTAACACCAGAGCTTCATATGCACATCTTGTAGCATTTGCACATTGCATTTCAATGTTTTATATTCATGTCAGGTAAATGCTGACATCCAATCTAGTTTGAAAGTCAGTCATAGTGCAATAAATAACCTACAGGGCATCTACACTGAGTGGACCATAAAACAGACGTTCAAAGGTTTGAGGTAAAAATACATAATACACCGGACACAAAAAAACACACTGTGTCAAGTTCATTTTCAGAAATACAACAGAGAAACAAACTTATGGCAGTGAATTTAAACTTCCATTGGTGGAGATCAAAATAGATTAAATAAGACTATAAACTGCACATTAAATGATGTTTAATTTCCGACAGTTTCAGACGAACCATTGATCATCCTTTGCCAAATGACATAGATACATGACGTGGATATATCAAGGTTATTACGCGTCCCCTCAAAGCCTACGCGTTGGAAATATGAGTTTGTGTCTACTGATACAGACGTGGATATGCAGCTCATCTGTGCTCTGGCTCTGCCTCAGGCCTGCTGAGATTAGAGGAACTGGTCCGCCGCTTTCTCATCTCTCGGGAGACGCTGTCAATCAGAATGCTGGACGACAACCTGGACCCTACTCCACTTCTGAAGGAGATCCGAGACGACAAGGTGGCCACCATCATCATCGACGCCAATGCTTCTGTGTCCTATCTCATCCTCAAGAAGGTCAGCTCCCTAATCTGATTCTTCACACCTGCACATACACGCGGGATACGAGGTTACATGTTACTGTCATGAAGAACATGCAGAGCAACTATCTGACAAAAGGATTAAAACATCTCTGCCGTTTGTTGAATTAAAATGCATTTATACCTTCTTTGGCCTCCAGGGCTGCATAGGGAACAGTTGCACTCTTAAGAAAATATTTGAGAAAAGGATCTTTTGCTGGGATGCGGGGCAGATGTAACCCAGGCCTATTCTGGGTCATAGTAGAGCCTGTAATGCCGATAGCCAGCACAGTGAGTCATAGTTTGAATGTGGACGGGATGTTTTTACTGGGTACATTGGAGCGGCTGTCCGCCCTCAGCGAAATGTCCTAGTGTTGTAGCCCGATGATGTAAAACAGTGATTAACGTATGCTCCCTCTCCTCCACCATATTCCCTTCTACTTTGTCCCCCGTCTCCTTTGCTCGCTGCTTCTTAAAACCTCACCCCTCCGCTCTCTTCCTCCATCAATCTTTTTACCTGCTCCTGCATTCTCTATCTTTTTTACATTCTGTATCCAACCGGCCCCTTTTTTTTTCTTCATCTTAATCTCTCTTTCTCTTTGTCCCGCAGGCGTCTGAGCTGGGGATGACATCAGCGTTTTACAAGTACATACTCACCACAATGGTAAGAGCTCACCACTTCTTCCCCTTCCTGTCGTCCATCTTCTATTGCTCGCTTTGGCATAAATGGCATAAAACCCTTAAAAACATCCAAAAATTATTTTAAAAAAGACCTTAAAAGATTAAAAATAGAATAAAGTTTGCAGTGTAATTTAAGAATCTTTTGAATTGCAGAAACGGTCAATTAAAGGCAGCAGCAAACACAAAAGTCTTTAATCTGGATTTAAAGTAGCTGAGGGACTCTGCAGACCTGCAGCTTTCTGGGACGCTGCTTCTCCATGTTTAGTTTTGACTGGGAAAAGAAAGTAGAGCAGTCCCAAATGATCTAAGGGTTTGTGACTGTTCATAAGGTATCAGCAGATCACAAATGTACTTTAGCCCTAAACCATTTAGTGCTTTACAAACTACCAGCAGGATTGTGAAGTCAATTCTTTGTTTGACAGGAAGCCAGTGTAAAAATCTGAGAACTGGAGTCATGTGATCCACTTTCCTGGTTCTAGTGAGGACTCGAGCTGCAGCGTTCTGGATCAGCTGCATCTTTCTGATCAACATTTTTACAGAAACATGTAAAAACACTGTTACAGTAGTCGAGTCTACTGCGGATATTCCCTATATATCCCTAATTACACCTAATTTCTAGCGTGGTTTTTGGTTTTTAACATCAGCAAATGAAGCTCAGCGCTGACATTTAATCGTTCCACCCTGTTACCAAAAACAATTACTTCTGCTTAATATTTGTTTAAGACAGTTTTGACACATCCAGTTGTTGATTTGTTCAATCCATTTACCCAGCCCCTGTATTGGATTGTAGTCCCCTGGTGATATACAGTGATCCCTCGCCACTTCGCGGTTCACTTATCGCGGATTCGCTATTTCGCGGATTTTCATATTGCATTTTTTTTTTTTTTGGTGCATTGTGCTCTGCATTCTGATTCGCTAAAAACTCACTCCCGAGCCGTTCATTACAGTTCTCCAACGTAATCGATGGTGGCATGTCGGTGTACAAGGATCTTTTTGCAAAGAAGAAAAAAGAGCGACAACAGCTGCCTATGACTATGTTCTTCTCCCGAACAAACACACCTGCACCGCGGGCTTCAGAAGAAGAGAACACTGCAGAGCGCAGTCAGGATGCAGCGGCCCAGTCTGAAGAGCAGTGAAACGGCCTACACGCGAGTCACTGTATTTGTATACATGTAATAGTTGCTAATTGTAAAAAAAAAAAAAGTTTTCTATTTCGCGGATTTCACTTATCGCGGGTCATTTTCGGAACGTAACCCCCGCGATAAACGAGGGATTACTGTAGTTATAGAAATTTGTGTGTCATCCGCATAACTATGACAACACACTTGTTGTTTTCCATAATCTGAGCTAATTGAAGCATGTAGATGTTGAACAGAAGGGGCCCCAGTATTGAACCTTGGGGAACACCACATGTCATTTTCTTCAGCTCTGATGTGTAACTAGCTACAGTAAAGCCAAGGTATTTTTGGTCTTTCAAGTAGGATTCAAAGCAGCTAAGTGCTGTGCCAGAGAGTCCCACCCAGTTGATTAGTCTATCCAGTAGTATATCATGGTCGCCCGTGTCAAATGCTGTGCTGAGATCCAATAATACTAAGACTGAAATTCTGCCATTGTCTGTGTTTAAGTGGATCTTGTTGAAAACCTTAACCATAAGCTGTCGAAAGCCTGACGGGAAGGCTTCAAAACCGTTATTTACGAAGTAGTTTAGCTGTTGAAAAAATGTTTTTGGATTATTTTACTTAAAAAAGGCAGGTTTGATATTGGCCTATAATTTTTCATTGCTGTAACGTTGAGAATAGCCTTCTTTAGGAGTGGTCTTATAACAGCAGTTTCAAGAGCTTGACACCTGAAATTAGGGGTGTGTTTACAATTTGTTTTTACATTTTTTTGAAAAAGTTTGTTGGAAGAATATCTAAGCAGAAGGAGGATGACTTCAGATGTTGTATAAAGTCATCTTGGCCTGTATGGTTGATTGAATGAAATTGTGTCATGGTGTTTGAACGGATGTTATTCTGAGATTTGGATACAACATATCCTGTGTTATGTATGGAGGCACTGACAGCTTGTGTAATTGTCCGAATTTTATCAGTCAAAAAGGAAGCGAATTGATTGCATGCCCGGGTGGATTGGAGCACAGCAGCCACTGACACTAGAGGGTTTGTCTGTCGATGCGTGTGTTGTTATTATTTTGAGTTATTATGTCAGTGAAGAAGGCCTGTCTTGCATTTCCAAGTTCAGAATTATAATTATGAAGTCTGTCTTTATATATGTCACAGTGGACCTGGAGATTTGTTTTGCGCCACTGCCTTCCGATACTCTCTTTTCTCTATTCTGGCCAGCGGGGCATTTCTCCACAGAGATCTTTGCTTACTTGAGACAACTTTCACTTTAGTGGGTGCAATGTCCTCAATAATATCTACAAGCTCATTGAAAGAGATGCAGGAGAGCGCTAGTGTGGAAGAAAACGACTATGTGAATAGTTCACTGGTGCTTGCAGTGATGTAACGCTTTTTCACAACCTTGGTCTGGATATTTGTGTGCAAGGAGATTGCACTCTTAAATAAAACGCATAAATGATCAGAGTGCAACGTCAGTCACAACAACCCTGGAAATATTTAGACCTTTTGTGATGATTAGATCAAGAGTGTGCCCCCTGTTGTGGGTGGGTCAGATCAGAGTTATCAAGGACACCACATCGTTCTACTGACCCTCTGTCCTGGGGATTATCAACATGGATATTCAAATCACCAACAATAACAATACAGTCAAATTCAATACATGCTACAGACAGCAGTTCACCAAACTTGTCACTTGCACAGTATTTATGTGGTCTGTAAATGTTCAGGAATAAAGCTTGTGTGGATGTTAGAGCCACATATTCAAATGAAGTGAAATGACTAAAAGCCGTCTGCTGATATAAAGGAGCAAAGGTGGAGGAAGTAGGAGATAAAGGCAGGAGGGAGAGGTGACAGAGAGTGAAAGAAGACAGAGGAGATAGGGTGGAAAGAGGGAAAGAGAGGGATGGATGTGAGAAATGAACACGCCGTACAAAGATGAGGGCGTGCGGATGAGGATGGGAAGGAATATGAAGGAAAGGAGGAAGGTCTGAGGTGAAGGTGATGACAGACTGTCACCCGCTACCATCTGCCCCTTTGATACGCTCACCTCTCCTTCCATCATTAAAAATGAATCTGTCACATTATGCGGTGTGCCTGATCATTTTATTTACTCCTCTACATGATGGGATTTGGATGCCACGTCTTGGTATATATCTGTGAAGAATCAACCTCTCCTCCCCTGTATCACTGCTGTCCCATTTTCTATGTCTATATTGTTTTTTTCCTCTCTATTTGACATTAGGTGTTTTCACGCCCAGTTGCCTCTCTCTCCCTTTTTATTGATCTCATACATAGATTCTTTCGTATGTATTAAGCTTTGATACACTGTCAATATTGTCACTCGGCTGAATTTTCTTCCCTCTCTGCAAACACCACAAATGCTCCTCCTCTTTCTTTTAGGACTTCCCACTCCTGAGACTGGATGATATCGTAGACGAGCAGTCAAACATTGTGGGTTTCTCCATGTTTAACACCACCCATCCCTTCTATTTGGAGTTCATCAGAAGCCTGAACCTGTCTTGGAGGGAGGGATGTGACCTGACGTACCCCGGCCCTGCGGTCAGTACACTCCAGTGCTCTTGTCTACATTCAAGAGGGATGTTCAAAACTCAGTGTGTATCACACGTAACATTAAGCTGCTTTATTCCTCACACTGATTCACCGAGCAGTTAAACAGATTCGGCTAGTCTTTTGCTTGTACTTAATGGGTATTGATGTATCCATTCGTGTTTCCTCCCCACTGGTTTACTCATACCTCACTCCTCTTCTCTCTCTTCTTTTCCTCCCCCGTCCCTGTTAACCATTCAATCATTTCTGCTAGAACATCTTTTCTCATTGTCTTCTCCCTTGAAACCTCGACTCTCCTCTCTGTGTTTCCATCTCTCTCCCCCCACACACCCTCGTACGTTCCCTCTCCCTCTTCCACAGCTCTCGTCAGCGCTGATGTTTGATGCGGTGCATGTGGTGGTGGGGGCGGTTAGGGAATTGAACCGCAGTCAGGAAATTGGAGTGAAGCCGCTCAGCTGCACCTCGCCCCAGATCTGGCAACACGGGACCAGTCTCATGAACTACCTGCGCATGGTAAGTGCTTGAAGTATTGTAAAATCACCTGCGGATATACAGTGCGTGCTCATACACATGTACACGCGTACAAATATGATATTATTATTACTTTTTTTAAATAGCCAAAAACTGTCACATTTTTGCTTTTTCCTTACTCTTAAACCTGACGATTCTGCTCCCTTTATTTGTTCTTTGTTGATGTGACAGTAATTTGAATTGTGTTGTGGATTGTTGGTCGGATAAAACAACACATTTGAATAACCTTGGACTCCTGGGTATTTATGTTATTTTATAACCAAAACGCTGAATGGAAGGTTAACTGATACTTGATCTTACCAGACAAAAGCATTTGACAAGGTAAAACTAGCACATGTTCTGTGGTCTGTCGATGTTCTCTCTGATTGATGTATTGATCAATGAGCGCGGTTCAGCAGCACTCTGTATCCTCCTACATCCTGTTGCACGTAACCTCTGTCTCTTGTTACTCTTGTCATCTTCCATCTCCGGCCGTCTGTGTGCTCCTTCCATCGACTACCTGTTGCCAAGGCAGCCCGAGCCCCATCTCTCATTGCGTCCTCCCCGCCGGCCCGTCATCTGCCTTTGTTAGTCAACATCACGGTGCGCTCCTGCTTCGGCGCGGTGCCATTCATCATAGGCCTCGCTAACTGTGCCAGCACCTGGGTTTTGGAGAGGCTGAGCTGTAAGGTGTAGTCCCGAGTCTCGTTAGCGGGCTGCTGTGACTGAGCCCCTCGCTCAGTCGGTCACTTTGTTCTCGTTGATCCAGAAAGAATCACCCTCGTCTTGTCCAGTCTCAGACGTTTCCTCGGTCTCCAGCTCCTTCTTTCTTTTAGTCTATCACCCTCTCATTTTTTCCCCCTCATAACTATAGAACGTTTGGATTCATGCTGTTACACCGAAAATTGCCTGCATTTTGGTCTCCTCATTATTTCATCTCCTTCTTTCCCTCTTTCCTGCTTTCCCACCTCACTCTCTCCGTCTGCCTGTCAGGTGGAGTACGACGGCCTGACAGGGCGTGTGGAGTTCAACAGCAAGGGTCAGAGGACCAACTACACCCTGCGGATTCTGGAGAAACACCGGGGAGGCCACAAAGAGGTCAGGAGTCACCTGTTGTCATGCAGCAGCCAGGTCTCTCACCCCCCCTCAGGCTTTAGGTTGGAAACCGGTCAGCCGACTGATTTCGCTACGGCGAAGGAGCTGTTTAGCACAGGTGTCATCCCTCGCAGCCTTCCATGATAGCGGCCAAATATCTTCACTTTGGGAAGTTAGTTTGATGCGGTTCACCTGACCTTTCATTTCATCTGAAGGCTACAGGAAGACATTGACCTATTGTTTTATTCATCTACTGAATGTCAAACGGTTGCAAAATGTCATAGTATGTGTAGTTTTGGGGTCCAGTGTTTTTTTTTTTGTGTGTTTGGACTGACCCTGTCCCAGGTGTTTTGTTTGTTGCTGTTTGTTTGTTGGATCTTGACTTGATATTTCCTGAAGGATCTATTCCCCTACAATGGAATTGTATGATGACGTATGATCATATTGTGTTGTCGTTTGACAATTACCAAACTTATCAAAAACAATCAAGTGTTAAAATGATGTGGCTTTTGTTGGGCAACGCTCACTATGGCAATTTCAGAATAATTTTAAATGTTAAAATATAGTGTAACAATAATACATTTACTTGCTCAGTATTGTCAGTCACATTTCACTACCTATCTGCAGACCAATTATCGCCGTAACATTTTTTAAGAGAATAATGTGTAATTTATTCCATGAAAATTGACAGTCTCCGTTTACAGATATCGTTCTACACATGAATGAAATCCTCTTCATTAATTTCCCCAAACCAGACCTCCCCTGTAGGTCTGGGCATTTTATCTTTTTTGATGCACAAGTTATATGCCACAAAATATGCAACAAAATTGTTAATGTTAGTTGGACACCTCGGGGGAACCAAAATAAAATGTGGGCAGAAACAGCCAATGAGGTGTTTAGCTATTCTGTCAAGGTGAGGGAAGAAAAATATTTTTCACCAGCATTTCAAAATTCAATTTAAATGAAACATAAGTACGCATATAACTGCAGATCCAGTCTGCGGTTGATTGACAGGATGAAACACTTTTCTTCACCTTCCCTTAATACGTCGTGCTGGGTTTTGCTCTAAGCCAACTTCCTCCCATGCTAACACGAAATACCATCCGATAACCATTCTTAAATCTAGACTTTATCTCTATGAGAGGCTATTGCAGCATTTTATGTCTGTAGCATTTTAACTCGGCACCCACTCTGCAGGCCGGGGGTGGTGTTATGGAAAACCTGTGATTCTGAGGAGTCATTTCTTCTCCTCTGACTTAATGAAAAATGTTCAATGAATAGAAATGCCTCTGTGAGCTGCGGTTCCACCCCTGCATGCTAGTTAGGTTATAGTCATATACTTTACTGTTTCCATAAAAAGGAAATATGAGAGTTTTTTTCAATGCAATTTAAGAACAGTAAAAATAGATAGATATTGGAATAAAACTCCTGCTCAAGAGGGCTTTTCATCTTCTCCCAGCTCATTGCTCTGCTTGTGTAAATTGTTATTGTTCTTTCCGTCATGTGTGGCTTCAAATTGGGCAATTCAATCAATCATATATATATATATATATTATATATTATATATATATATATATATATATATATATATACAATATGTAGTGGTATGGATATCAAGCCAAAGCATAAAATATTCAGTAGTAGAGGACTAGTAGTGTTTGTGCACACACTATGATGCGTGGCCTTCTACAACAGTGAAGTAGCAGCTTAAAAGTACATTATTCATCCCACAATGGGCATTGATTTCTTCTTGCTTTCCCTTCTCTGTTAGATCGGGGTCTGGTACTCCAACAACACTCTGGCAATGAACTCAACCAGTCTAGATATAAATGTCTCCGAGACACTGGCAAACAAGACCCTCATTGTCACCACCATACTGGTAAGGTCACAGTTATCTTCTGGTCCATCATGCTGGTGAGATCAGAGTTGTTTGTGTGTTGCTTCACAGGCTGTGCCGCAGCTCGTGCTGTGCTCTGGTGTGTTTTTGCAAATTTCGCTGTCACCGTAGCTGTCATAGAAACTGATGGAGCTGTGTTACTGAATACAAACTGCCAAAACCCCGGTGTTGTGATTCTTTTCGGAGAGTACAAGTTGTCTCCTTCTGGTTTCCACACGAGTAACGTCAATCAGATCCGTAACATGGCAGTTCTTAATTGTCTTCAGGTCAGTGTAGATAGTAAAACAACATCATATAGTGCTGTGATATAACATCAAAACATTATCAACAAAATCATCATCAAATAGTAGAACAGAAGTCATCCCCCATAGACAAACATAAAGCACCACAGTATTTATTCTCACCAGGACCTTTCTCAGACCCAGTTTCCTTCACTTACCCGGTTTTGCTGCTGTGAGACCTGCAAATAAAATATGAGATTTGGAGGTCGACAGATCCAGTGATTGAAAGCCATTTCATGTTTTTTAAAGGATTCTCCAGACTTTTAGGGTCGGACTTCCATCATGTTTGGGAGCTCACAAGAGACAGATAAAGAATGGTCTAAATGGATTCTGCAGAAGCCGGGCCGGTATCCTGACTTTCAGTCCAAAGTATTGGTCATGCTCCAAAATGGATGAATCCTACTATTCCCATAATCCAATTGTATATGTTATTTTTGTAAAGTCTCCAACTGCCCGGTAAAGTACCATTTCTCTAAAACTCAAGGTGCCCTATTTGTAGGCTTGGTTACAAACTGCATTCATAGACGGAGTGGCACTCAATACATGTTGATGTATGACATTTGTGGGATTGTTCCCTGAAAATAATTAGATTTAATTTGTAGAGACTCAAAACAATTTTAATAGAGTTAAAAACTGGGTGGCTTGTTTTCACATTTTATAGGAATAGTTTCATATTTTGGTTAAATCAAATTTTGTCAATTTGAACATCTGATAGCTACGTTTCAACCTCTTTCAGAATAATGATGAGAGAAATATTGATCTTCTCATCACTCTCCACCAGAAAGAACATTTCCTAAAGCGGTTGAACCATCTACTATTCACATAATAGCTTCTGCTAGTTTTATTTTAATCTTCGCTTTGGACTGAAGCCCCACATTCCTCCCCGGTGCTCAGGAGAACCCGTATGTGATGCGCAGACAGAACTACCAGGACTTCCAGGGCAACGAGCAGTACGAGGGCTTCTGCGTCGACATGTTGAAGGAGCTGGCGGACATCTTGAAATTCTCCTTCAAGATCAAGCTGGTGGATGACGGCCAGTATGGGGCTCCGGAGCCCAACGGCTCTTGGACCGGTATGGTGGGAGAGCTGATCAACCGGGTGAGTACTCCCCCTCACTTTCCTTCTGTCTCTCTCTGGCTCACAATCACACCAGGAACACAGAAACATGCCACTGAAAAAGGCTCTGTCTAGTGTCTGAACACACACACGCACACACACACATTCAAACTCTAGCCCCAAACTACTAAATTCTGCTGTAACTTCCCGTGTTTCAAATTGCTCTCAGAGGGGAGTGAGACTTTTATCTAGGACAAAAGCTGACTTGATAATTCTCCAAAAGAGAGTGGTAGCATTGCCTAAAATCGTCTGCCACCCCCCCCCCCCCCAACTCCCCCTTTTTTCCCTCCCTTTTCAGGGCTAGTGGGCCTCTGACAGACGCTGTGGTTGAAGCGGGCTAATGAGAGCCCCTCTCCGCTTAATTACCACACGGTATACTTTAATTACCGGACTGTGGTCCCCGTGTGGGCCTCGCCACACTGGTGCTCCCCCAGCTCTGCGAGCTTCCTCTCCCTCCTGCCCCCCCCCCACTGCCTGATCACTCAGCTCTAATTAGCGGTCCGTGTTCATCAATTAGCCCTAATGGGAGAGATGGAGGGGAGGCAGAGGGACCAGGGACCTGCAGGGTTTTATACAGGTGGAAAGACCAGCCACCCAGTGCTTACTTGCAATTAGCCTCATTTGGACGGTGGATAATGTGTGTGTGTGTGCCAGAGGGAAAGAGCCAGTGCAAATATGTGTGTTTTTCCAAATGTGTTTTGAAGTGCCTCTGTCGAAACTTTTTATTTTTCAAGTCATTTTTAAACAGAGCTCTCTCTCATCCACCCGGCGCAGCGTTGAGTGTCTTTCTATTTTAAGCCGTTACCTGACACTTGTGGGTTTTCTCTCCTCCGCCACCTCTACCTTTTCCTCTCGCCCCCCGCTACCATCAACCCTCCCGTCTTTGTCAACTCTACAGAAAGCCGACCTGGCCGTAGCGGGCTTCACCATCACGTCGGAGAGGGAGAAAGTCATCGACTTCTCTAAGCCGTTTATGACCCTGGGGATCAGCATCTTGTACAGAGTTCAACTGGTGAGGCTGTTATCTGCAGCTGCACGATACTCACTATGAACCCCGTATGCTTTCAGGCCGGCAGGGTCACGCAGAAGGCGACGGGCTTCACTAGTTCGATGACTATGGATTCAGACTGAATGTTACATAAGGGCTGATCTCATCTTTGGAGCCAAGGACTGGGTTGATGTAGTACGCTGCCCACAGTGAAATTTATAGTTGTAATTTCAATTGCTCGATAAGTCAGTGCTCTGTAACTGGGTAACAGTGGCGGCTTTACATTGCTAATGAGGTTTTGGCTCTCGGCCAAGTGTGCGTCAACAGCCGGCATTGTGAAACGGAGCATTTATGGATTGTAGCATATCACAGCAGTGCAGACCGACGTTCAGCGTGCAGTGAAGGACACTGCCCTCCTGTGGTGCCGAGGGGACAGTCTCTGACTGTTGAGACATGACACCTCGTTTTCTAACACTCAATAACTTCCTGTCTGTATGTCACCATCTGCCCCTGTTGCTCTATCCATCTCTTTTTATCCTGTTCCCTTTTTGTCCTCCCCGCACCAGGGTCGGAAGCCGGGTTACTTTTCCTTCCTCGACCCCTTCTCTCCGGCCGTCTGGCTCTTCATGCTGCTCGCCTACCTGGCTGTCAGCTGTGTGCTCTTTCTGGCTGCAAGGTCAATACATCATCACACATCACACACTGTACCCCTACTCTGCAGCTCCATGGGCATTTATCTTGTTGTAACGGCAATACTTGTCCCAGTGACAGATGGGCAGGGATCAAATGACTGATTTGTGTTGGCTTGAAAGATTCGACAGAGGTGCGTTTGACCCCAAGGTCATTCCGCTATGCCTGTGTTCCCCCAACAGGCTGAGCCCCTATGAGTGGTACAACCCGCACCCGTGTCTGCGAGAGCGCAAGGACATTTTGGAGAACCAGTACACGCTAGGGAACAGCCTGTGGTTCCCTATCGGAGGCTTCATGCAGCAGGGGTCAGAAATAATGCCCAGAGCCCTGTCCACCAGATGTGTTAGCGGGGTGTGGTAAGTCACTGAAAGTCTTCTTTCACAATTTACTACATCATTATTTGTATGAAGTCTTGTGATCTAGAAAGGACATGAGAGAGGACTGATACACTCTGTCCATATTGCCCCTGTCTGCCTCACAGGTGGGCGTTCACCCTGATCATCATCTCCTCCTACACGGCCAACCTGGCCGCCTTCCTGACCGTCCAGAGGATGGAAGTCCCCATCGAGTCCCCGGACGACCTGGCCGACCAGACCAACATCGAGTATGGCACCATCCACGGAGGGAGCACCATGACCTTTTTCATGGTACGACCCACTGCAGCAGCCATGGCCATGGTTGGCTTAGCGTCTGGGGTCTTTGAGCGGGGTCTGTTTTTGTATCCGCGCTTACTTGTGCATTTACATGGATTTCATCCAGATTATGACAATTTCCTAAGTTGTCTTTGGTGTAAATGTTTCACAAAATGTTTGCGATTGTGTGGACGTGTATGATTTACTGCAGAGCTTTCGTCTTTATTGCTTTGCCTTGAGGAAGTTGTCCCCATATTTGTTACTTTATGTCTGAGTTTCTCTTTTGTTTTCTTTACGGCTGTTTGTATAAGTGGCTGACTGCCTGTGTTTGCTTTTTAGAGCGCTTGCAGCATCTGTGTCGGCATCTGTGTTTGTCAAAGAGCGTGTGTGTTTTGTCTCCGTGTGTAGGTGTGTTTGCATGTGGGAGTGTGTGTAGGTGAGTGTACAAAACACATTCTTTGTTTGTGCGCATGCTTGTTGAATGGCTACATGCCAAATTGTGTGTTTGCGTTGCAGGCTTGTGTTTTTTATTCATATTGAGAATATAAGAAAGAGGTCTGTGTTTGCCTACTAATCCCCACAAACAAAAGGAAATTACATTGTCACTTTATCACGAACATGATGCCGCCCTCTTTACTCCTTTCCTTTCTTCTCACAAAGAGAGACGCAACATGTAATTGTTCACTTTAAACACTTAATCCTGTTCAAGGGTTTAACATATTTTGCTTAGTGCTGAACTACCTCCTGTGGGCTTTTTTACCTCCTTCTGTATGAAAGATGATGCATCAGCTACGCCATAAGCGAATAATCTGTTTTCTTTTTTCATGTTGCTTTCCCCCCTTCACTCTCCTCAATCCGCTTCATGTTTATTTGCCATTGATGTTTTACTCTCCTCTTCACAGAGGATGCATGCCTCTCTCTATTTTTCTTATTTCTTCATTTTGCATTTTTCTTCATTTCCATTTAATTAGTTTCAAAGAGAGATGATGTATTCACAGTTTAATCATCGTTGTTGTTTCTCCATTCCTCTGCAGAACTCGCGTTACCAGACCTATCAACGCATGTGGAACTACATGAACTCCAAGCAGCCCAGTGTATTTGTGAAAAGCACAGAGGAGGGCATCGCCCGCGTGGTCAACTCTAAGTACGCCTTCTTGATGGAGAGCACCATGAACGAGTACTACCGCGGCCTCAACTGTAACCTCACCAAGATAGGAGGCCTACTGGACACCAAGGGTTATGGAATCGGCATGCCGCTGGGTAAAAATACTTATATATACTAATGAGAGAACCTGGTTATTACTCGCAAGGAAATTACAACACAATCATAACTAAGACCTGTTCATTCATCACTTAAATGATCTGTATTATTATTTCATTATATATTCTAGTAAATTACTAGCATGTTACTTTTTCTTATTTCAGTTTTATGCTATTTAGAGAAGTACAGTATGTTATTGCATTGAGTTATTTCAACTGATGCCATAATAATACATATTCCTATTCTATTTTCGCATGAAGACAATAACAATCAAATCAATAACAAGATACGCATCAGTAAGAACAAAACAAAAACAGAACAGTTTGTCGCTTACAGTCTTTCTAGTTTGCTTCAGGGGATCGGTGAGGAAGGAGCAGAGGATGAGCGTTAATCTGATAATAACCTGTTAACTATGTTATCTAACAGCGTTTAGATCATATCATGCCGACTTACATTCATTCAGCTTTTTGAGGTTCTGAACCCCAGATTGGGGAACAGTGTGATATTATTGTATTAATGAAATAAACACTTAATTGATTGTTGGAGAAACATATGAGATCAATTATGCAAAACAGAAACATCTGAGATCTGAAAAATTGTCTAGTACGTGCTTGATTAATTTTCTGTCCTAGGGATTTGTAACTTTTTCAAATGAAAGTACTGAACATGCAGTTAATTGCTTTTCCACAAACGTTCGGCTCTTCCGAAGCTCTTTGCCAGCACTGAGAGGCAGTGTCATTGGATCACAGTGGTCCGTTTTAACAAAGAAGAAGAAGAAGAAGAAGAAGAAAGACCAGCGAAACAGAAAGTACAGAAAGATTTGACAGACAGATGTCTGGGAGAAAGATAAAGTGCTGTTGCCGTAGTTTATGATGGGAAACAGAGACTGAAGAGGAGAAAGATGTCTTGAGCCAGATATTTAAAATGCGTTTTACGGGGAATTATGTTCCTACTAAAACCCTGCATTCATTTGCACTTCACTTTTTAAAGCCAACAAAAAGGCTACAAAATGTTAGTAATTAGTTGGCTTTATAGATAATGCAGTTTAAAGCGTACTGTTTAACATATTCCTTCAATACCCATAATTCACTTTGATGGTGGACTTTGGTTCCCTGTATAAAAGCATGTTTCTATCAGTCTCACTCAGAGACGTGCTTGTGGAGAGGAGAGCTCTGGCTGTGTAATGCTGTGTTGTGTTGTGGTGGTGGTCTGTGATGGTGGGCGGTGACTTGTTTCGCCACGCGGAGGATGACGGCCGGGACAGAAGAAACAACATGTCAACGGTTCAGATGAAAACTGCTCACGTTGTGGTGTGTTGATCATCTTCCTGACTCGACAACCCTTTGTCGACTGTCCCTTTAAACGCTCCCGTCGGGTTTTTACTGGTATCTAGTTCACGATATGCTTTGTAGGACTAGAAAGCTGCACCACTGGCTCCGTATGTTTGTAATCTCGCTCTTTATCTCTCGATAATCCTCTCTTTATTCTCAAAGTCACATCATTCGTAGTCATCTCGAGGCTGCAAGCGCAATCCTGTGGCTGTGATTCATTCTCCTTTTTTCTCTCCTCACAATTCATGTTTTTCCCCCCTTTGGCAAAATATCCCCCAGCTCTTGTTCAGGGCACTTCTGCTGCAGCTCTTTTCCGTCCTCCAACACTTGTTCTTATCCTGCTCTCCTGTCATTTGCTAGGGTCTCCGTTCAGAGATGAGATCACGCTGGCCATCCTCCAGCTGCAGGAGAATAACAGGCTGGAAATACTGAAGAGGCGGTGGTGGGAGGGAGGCCAATGCCCCAAAGAGGGGGACCACCGTGCCAAGGGTCAGTCCATCACAGCTGCCTGTTTCCTCCTCCTCCTCCTCCTCCTCCTCCTTCTCTCTAATTTCCCCAGTAATAGTCTCCTCGCTCTTTGCTACAGTCCAGCTAATGTCTTGTGCCTAAGCTAATGTCCCTGTGAAGGGGGTTTAACACAATCCACTTCCCAAATGCCGTCTGTTTGTCTCGGGCGGTTTGTGATGTTAGTTTTATTAGAATTAGTCCTTCTGTTCACATGGGAATGATTGCGTCCGTACAATGACAATAACAAAGCCTCAGCATTTATGCCTCTGCGGTCAGATGGAGGTCTCTTTAGAGAGTGGTCTGTGGCAACTGCAGAGAAAAGGGACTTTCAGCATCATTCAACCTCACCTGTAAATCTCAGTAAATCTCAGTTTTTTCACGGGTTCATAATTCTGGAGCCCTGAGTTTGCACATCCTGGGCCATTTTAGCTTTTTAATTCAATTGAATGAGACGTTAACATTGACTTTGTATTGCACTTACATAATATCCAGATACTTGCAATGGGTAGTTTAAAAATGAAGAGTGGTCCAAATTGTTACAGAGACAGAAAAATCCATATTTCTTATGCTTTACCCGCACTGATGAAGACGTGTCTTTTAAACCCCCTGCAGCCTGCTGTCTGTCAATAAAAATATTCAGTCTTTAGTCTTTAACTTGAGATTAGAAAAGTGAGATCACTTAGATATAAATACATACTTTGACATTTCAAGAGATTCCTGTTTATTAGCTTTCTTGCCAACACTTACATTATAAACTGCTGATTAGTTTAGCTAAGCTTAAAGACTGGAAAGTATGTACCAAATTCACCGTGTAAGTGACTCCCGGAGTTTCTTCACTTTCTTTCCACAAGATAAAATGCATTTTAGAGTCTAAGGACAGAAGATGTCGTACATTTCACAGATTGGGGAGCCGACCGAGGAAAATTCAATTCATCACTTTTGGCTATGCAAACACAATTCAAATTATGCTGAAATAAGCTGCCTTGCATTAATTTCCTAGTTCTTTCCAAACATGAGTGTGATATCTACGTTCTCACTTAACTCTCTGCAAGAGAGCAAACAGTGTATTTCCTGGAACATTGTGCTGGTACAGAGCTTTTCCAGTTCCATCAAAAGACTTCAAACGAGTTCTTCCCAGGTTTCGTAGTACTCTCCTTGATTTGTACATGCAACAAAGTAAAGTAAAACATATAAAACAGTGCCAGTGTCGGTGTGTTCCTGCACCCGCGCGCTGATGTTTGTCTCTCGTGGGCCCCGCGCAGGTCTGGGCATGGAGAACATCGGGGGCATCTTCGTGGTGCTGATCTGTGGTCTGATCATTGCTGTGTTTGTGGCCATCATGGAGTTTGTTTGGTCCACACGCCGCTCCGCAGAGACCGATGAGGTATGCCCCCATACCTGCCCACGCCGACCCCACAGACACACCCCAGTAGGTTACCATGGCGATATGCCAACCCTTCTGATTATTTTGTTTTTCGCGTGTGAGAGCGGGTAGATTTCTCTCAGCTTTTGCATCCATTTGTGTGTCTTGTTTGTCTGTGCGATCTAATACTTGAGGTTCAGTGAATGAGCATGTGAGATGAGAGCAATGTGGCACTGAATTGCTGAAGTGTCCATAATGTACAAAGCAAAGATTGGATTGGATTGGATTTTGCATGTCCTGTCTGTTTTGAAGTCATTGTCCCCCTGTAGTGTTTGGTGTTTAACAGTATGGCAGCAAGTGTTTGTGAGCTAAACTTGATGGTACTGATAAGCAATATTGAGAAATGCCAATATCTGCTTGCATAAAAAAAACCATAGTGTGATCTTATTCTCTGGCATTAAATGTCATGATGTATCTTCTTTTACACGCCTCACGTGTGCGCTGGTATTCTTCGTTTTTTCCATTCTTGGATTACTTCTCACCCATTTCACTGCGTGTCCCTTGTCTCTCTCTCAAACACATACACACCTCCTCTCATCAGTGTCTGTCCTCTGAAAACAAGTATTGTTTCTGTTTATGTGAGCACACACATTTCTATTATAATTTCAACGAGAATGTCGTTTGTCTGCAGTGGATATGTTGGTGCATTTTGATGGTTGTGTGTGTAAATGACGGCGGTCATGCGGTTGGAATGATGAATTTGACTTGTGGGTGTCTTTGATGTTTGTGTGAGTGAGTGTGTGTGTGTGCCTTTTTATGTGTGCTTTAGTTTGAAGGCCTGCCTGTCCGTTCATAGTGCATAGTGCCATAAGGAAGCCCATAAACTAAACAACATTTTGGTGTTTTGTGTGTTTAGATTGTAATAACTCTCTCTGCTCCTTGGATGTTCTCTCATCTCCACATCCTTCTTCCCCATCGCCTCCTCATTTCTGTTTAAAAACCATCCCACCCTTTCTTGGTCTCTGTGCCGCTGCTTCTTTGCAACTTTTTCTTTTACCACGCTGTACTGTATCTGTTCTTGTTTTTTTGCTTTTCCTTTCGATTCTCCTACCGTCCATCCCGCTCCCTTATTTACGTACCGCTTTTCCACCGTCTTGTTTTGCCGCCTGCCTACTTTCCGTCTGTGGCGCGCCTCCTACATTTGCCTCCTTCCCTTCCGCCGTTCCTTCTTCCTTCCCTCCTTTCTTTTCTCCTCTAGGTGTCTGTTTGTCAGGAGATGATCACAGAGTTCAGAAACGCCGTTTCCTGTAAGAAGAGCTCCCGTATGCGCCGCCGCCGGCCCCTCGGCAGCTCCGGGGCCCTGCGCCACCCCACACGCATCGCCCTGGGGGCCCCTCGGCCCCTGCGCCTGGTCCGGGAGATGCGCCTCAGCAACGGCAAGCTCTACAGTGGCGCTGGTCCGCTGACAGGTGGAGCCGGAGGAGGTGGAGCAGGAGGGACGGGCCCAGCGGATCTAGGCCCGGGACCCCAGCGGATCCTAGATGACCCGCTGGGGGCCAACAGCACCCCTCCTCCACCGGCCCCTACGCCTGTGATGCTGCCCGTGCGCAGCTGCACCCACGTGCGGATCTGCCAGGAGTGCCGGAGGATCCAGAGCCTGCGATCCGGCAACAGCACGGGATCAACCACAACAAGAATACCACCTTCGTCGGCGCCCCTGCCGCGGCTACCTCCGCCCCCGCCCCCATCCTCGTCCAACACAGACAGCGAGGGCGGAGCGGGGCACAGCCCAAGGCGGCTGCACCACAGCCCACCCTCTCATACCCCTCGGCCCATTCCACCTCCACAGAACAGCAAAACCACAGACCTGCTGGCTGAACAGGACTGAGACCGGAGGCAATGGGGGAGGAGGGGGAGATGGGGGGGGGTGGAGGTGGGGGTGTGGAGGGGGCAGCGGAAATTGACTGTGAAGGTGGTGTAACTGAGGAACATTTATGCTACTGAGAGAGAGGGAGAGTTTCCACTGGTGAAGTTCATAGGAGAACAAAAGAGGACAAAAACCTCAAGGTGAGCCAATAGAAAACAAAATAACCTTTAAAGGGAGAATAACGAAGTCAAACCTTTCACCAGTTTGCATGCAGATGCAGATGCAGAGCTGGCTTCAAGTACGCTGTTAAGCTTCTGTACTCTACCACATGACCAGGTGACGGTTTCTATTGGCCTCCTTTTCCTTTGTCCCTCTCCCTGCCCGATCCACCTTTTCCATTTGAGTGCGCTGGTTTTTCATGAAAAGGACACTTCCCTCCTCCATTAAAATGAAGACTTGCTGAAGGACATACTGTAATTGTCTGTGATTTAAAACCACAACTAAAAGACTTTCAAAGAATTATTTCCTGTTTTTTCTTTTACTTTCCTTCTTGTTTTTTTTTTCTCCATTGTTCTGAGTTGGAATTACAGAATTAAATACGGAATACGGTGAGTTGTGACGTAGACGCTTGACTGCAAGAGTTTAGTGTCTCTCCCTTCGGACAGCAGCTGCTTTTTGGATGGTATCAGGGAAGGTGGACGGCGCTACATCAACACCACATAATGCAAAAGGCAGCAGAGGAAACTCTCTGCCTTCCGTCACACTGTGCGTTGGTGCATTGAAGAAAAAAAAAGAAAAAAGCTCCCTTGTAAGTCTGTAATTACTCAAGTGAGGAGAACCTTAAACAGCCTGGTTCTAGAAATGTGAAAATTAGGCCCAATGAGAGGAAAAAGAGCAAAACACTCAAATGTGAAATGAATGTCCCTCGTTATCCTGAGTAAACTTTTGCATCCCGTCTGCTCACACAGTGTAGAGGAGGTAGAAGGAGGAAAAGGCAAGGTAGAGAAGAATAGAGAGAGGCAAAGAAGGAAAAGGACACTCCTGACTTTGAATGAGGAATCCTCGGCTGAACTACTTCCACGATTAGATCTGTCCTGATCCGTTCATTTAAGGCTTATTAATGCGCTAGCAGACTGTAGCCGCAGCTTCATCCCATCTCTCTGTTCAGCAGACTTGGCCGTTACACAGTAGAGGCTCCTGCCAGCGTGATAGACTCAACACAGCCTTGTCAATACGGTCTCAGCTTCTGATCGCATAATTACTCCCCTCGGTGTCTGGGGGCTCATTCGGGAGGGGGTTGAACACGGGGAAACATGCTGATGAAAAGGTTTAAAAGGAAATGCATGTTTTTCTCTCCGGCTCAGAAGGCAACCTGGTCTCTTTGAATTATGCTGTTGACGTTGCAGCCCGACTGTTTGGTGAAACTCCCAACTGAAACTATACGCCACAGCTTATCAGCCACGGTGCATAGAGGATATACACCTGTGGATTTGCTTATGTTAGCCCTTTTTATTTTTAAATTGTGGATTTCTCCATTTTTCCCTGCTGCTTTCACGGCAAGTAAGTGTAGAATAATTACGGGGAGCATTACTGAAGGAGGCCTGCATTCTAAACTTATATTACTGGCAACCGGTCCAATTAAAAGACCAAAACTAACAATGAATTGATGAACTGATCTGACTGATGAGTAGCCTAAATTTAACTTCCGATGAAAGATGAAAGTCTATTAAGACACTTTACAGGTGGCAAGTGGCTCTGACACTTTCAGAAGTGATGCTAGAGGAGCACCTAGAGGGTCACAGCTTCGCCGGTTCAACGTGGATGTTTGAGGAGTTGGGAACGTGTTGGAGAGACACACCAACACGTGTGTGAGAAAATTATAAAGCCTTATCCTTCAAGTCTGCATAATAAAGATCACTAAATGTGAGGAAACCACAAGGCCACACCATCCCCTCAACAGCAATTTTATTAAATCAAAATGAATTTCTTCTTGCTTGATGTTTAGAATCACAATTACAAAACAGATCGTTTTAGTTCAGGAGTAAAAGATTGAGTTGTGGTTACTGCCGTATTACTTCTCTTTGGTGTGATCGTTGCAGCTGTGATCTCTGTTGTACGACCTCTCTGTGAAACGGTCCCTTCAAAAGTAAATGCCCTGATTTTTTGCACTCATTGCGTAGATTATGTCTATTTTTTTATATGAAATCATAATCAAGTGCTGTATTAGCATTTTCTGAACTGCAGGCTGTAGACTCATCAGTGTCTCAATGTTGATTGAATAATTTGTTAAATCCCCAAAAGATTCACTACCAACTGAACGGGGGGCTGAATGAAATGTTTTCGATGAGATGTAACTAAATTCCTCACCATGCTGTTCAGTGTCACTGTTTCCTGTTGTTGACAGCTGATTTTATGAATGTAATCATTTCCAGCAGCTGATTCTCAAAAGTCAGTATCTCCCCCCGTCTTTTGCCGTCGGTTTTGAAGTAAAAATCAATTTGTACCTCGGTCCTATGAGCCTCCGCCAACACACATAAAGCTGCCAGCTGCAGGAGACTCACACCCTCTCAGATCTCAACAAACAGCAGGAAAACAATCCCTCGCTGGCTTCACACCCATCAAAATTCAGCAGCAACACAAAGTGTGCGACAAAACATGCAAACCCACCGGCTCAGCCCTCTACACGTCCCCTGAGAAGAATAATACCATGCCGGCATTGTTGTCTGGGAAAACATTCCGTTGCTTTATAAAGTTATGCATTTTGCAGTGGGACGGATTTGTCGGCACAGATGCGCTCCAGATGATGAGCGATAACATTGTTTGGAAACATTACGCTGTCGTTTTGAATGATTGCTGTCAGCCGAAGCAGGCCTGGATCTGATGCCTTTCTTACTCTCTGTATATTTCTTCCTTTGTGTTCAGAATGCTGACGAAGCAGCAGGAGAGAGCCCCCTTTCAAACACACACACACACACACACAAACAAACACAAACACCCGCAAAATCTTAATAGCTTATTTCCTCATTATTTAAAGGTTGTAAACCCTCTGGTTGTTTTTAAATTTGTCTTCTGTCTGTGTCTTCTTCGGGTTGGTTCTGTGTGCAAATCGACAAAACGTGTAATGTGAGGGCACCACTGAGCCGTTGAGCGTCAGCAGCTTCAAGCCACCAGCTGCACACATTTATTAGCTGCCAAACGTTATTGTTGAGAAGCAAAAGAAGGCTGCAAACTCTAAGAAAGCAAAAAACATTTCCGGTATGAATAATCACATGTATGAAGGGAAGAGAGGGTCACAAAACCGAAAAGTTGGAATTTCTGAACTGTCACCCCATCAAAAAAAAACCTTTTTGTTTAATTTGACGTTCTTTTCGTTGGTATTTTTTCACATTTCTATATCAGTGCTAAATGGATTATCAAAACTGATGATGAATATTATGATTAAATTGTTGTTGTTATTCCTATTGAAGACCAAGAGGCTCTATAGTGTGATTCTGGGGGAAGGGAGGGGGACGGGGGACGTAGGGACAACGGTGCAATGATGTTCTTCAGAGCGTTCGCCTTGTTGTTTAAAGCTTGTAGACACAAACTCCTTTTGGAATAAAAATATTCAAACAGCATTTTTCCTTTTGTTCACTGCCAGGCAAATGCTGCCGTAATGCAGGTGTGGAGGAAGCACTGAGATCTTTTACTGAGGTAAAAGTGCCACTACAGTAATGTAACAGCTACTATATTTAGACACGTACGGAGGCCTGTTGTTTTGAAAATGCTCTTTTCAAAAGGCTGTTGTCCCTCCAGGCACCATCCTCCCATGTTTACACAGGAAACATTCTTAAATGCAATTATTTGAAGTTTGAAATAGGCTAGTTTATTTTTGTTTAATACATTTGTTCCACAACATGAATCAGTGTGTTGGTTGCAGATACAAGTTAAAATGAAGACGATTGTACCAAATGTCAGTCTGAGAACCTTTTATTTATACAAAGTAAAATTAGTCTCTGCCTCAAGGAGCTCAAACATTAGTTAGACATGTATATATATGTAACTTAATTCATTAATAATAAAACAGTGATGTAACACTGTGAAAGGGGACCCGTCTTTTCTTAATGAGCCATTCTAACACTTGCTCTGCACTTTTACTCATTTTAAACCTTTCTTCTTACCTGGGATCTTGATGTTAATGAACCACGGTAGAGCAAACTGCAAATCAACACTGTGAATATTTTCAGATTGACAAAATACCAGAAACACTAAACTTTACATTTCTTAGTCTTTCAGCTGCAATTCAGTCATACCTTCCTGTATTGTTTGTTCCTCTCTGATTGTAATAATAACCTTCAGTAGCACACAGACTTCATGTGGCCAAATAATGATGATGGGCTGAATATCGCCCCTGTATTAAATAAAAGTAACGAAGAATACAAATGTTTTTGAAAATGGGATGGAATCACGATAGTGTAAAACGGTGAAGTTACAAATGTGTTTTTCTAATTCTTAATTGTCACAGAAGCTGTGCAAACCAGAATGTCAAAGTAACAAGTGGTGCAACTCTTTTCTTTGTTCCATTATCCCTTAAATATTTGTATTGCCTCTATCAGGCTAGTGTTCGTTTAACACTCAATTATGGATGGTAGATAATTTACCTCAGCTTTCATAGAGAGAGAGAGAACATCACTAGGATTAAAACTTGTGCGCACAATAAGTTATGAGTAATCGTTATTACAGTAACTGTACAAACCATATTTTATCACCTCTTCATCTGCTCAGATTGCAACATCTGTAAACAGGACTTGACATTAAACAGTTTAACAGACAGCAGACCAAATACTGTATCACACCCAAAGCTACTACAACTATTACCCGTATCAATGCTGTTGGAAGATTTACCAGCATTGTACCATATATGAAATCAGCATGGTTAGAAAATTACAATAATAATTTGTAAGGAAAACTATAACAACATATACTGTTCCATTCAAAACCCTAGATCTAGATCTTTCTAGAAAGATCTTTTAGATCTGTTTTAGACGTCTATTTTTGTGGTTTGTGACACATTGTTCAACACAAGTTAGTTTTGCACATTTTCCACACATTTTCAAAAAAGTTGACTGTAACATCCCAGACTATTTAATGAAGCTATATTTTTATGAAACCGTCTTAAACAAACATTTTACATTATTTCAAACCAATATTATCTTATTATATATCACAATGACTTTTAAAAAAGTTTACATTTTGTCTTACCTGATATTAATTAAAAAAAATCATCTTCAGAACTGCGAGAGGTGCTTTGCTGGAGGTTTTCATTGTTCAAAGCTACAACAAACAACAAATACCCATTAAAGTTTAACACCACAACTTTTACCTTAAATCAACATGACAAACTTACTGTTATGAAGAGGTTGATCCGCTTTGCTGGTGCTTTAGTCAAAAACTAAAGCTAAAAGAATGACAGCATTGAAACACAGAATAAAAAAGCATCGGCAGAGAGGAACCACCTCCAACCCGCAGCGTTGTTATCAAAAGAGGAAAATTGTCTGACCCACAATATGTGCTCATCAAAAATCAAGTCACAATATGACTAAAACACATAAGTGTGCAAAAGCATTTTGTTCAGTTTAACTTAAGACTGTCATTTTGCTAAAACACGTAAAGCAACATGTATTGCTTTTGCAGGACTCTTCAGAAATCCTTCTTTTTTCTATAATAATTTAGTATTTGTGATATGAAACACACTGTTAACTGCTAACATACACACAAACAGGGCATTTTTAAACAAAACATTTCTCACGTGTGTACTTCTCTCCCATTCGACCTCTGCAGCTCACCCAGAACGCAGCAGCTCGACTGGTCTTTAACCTTAAATTCTCCCACACTAGTCCGCTCCTCTGCTCTCCTCTCTCATTGTGAGTCGCTTTGGATAAGTGACATGTAATGTAATGTAACTCACTCATTATTATTGATACCCAAGATCATCTTTTATTTGGTTTATTTGGAGAACTGTTGATAGAACATAGTCAACTGGCAAAATTATAATTTTGTGATAAAAATTATATATTTGTATGTATTTGTATTTCGTGATATCATTTCAAAGACTGATTATTAGTGCTGTTCAATGTCAAATATCCTCTTTTTATCTGCGTACTTTGTGTAGATTTCGCCAGATGGGGTCAGTTTGTTTCTCTTTGATTGACAGCTTTAGTTGTCATGACGGATGACACCAGTATGAGGAAACAAAAGAGCATAAAGCATACGCCTCCTACATCATCTACGTGCTCTCTGGATGAATTAGCCTAAGGTGTTGAAGAGTAATCGGGGCCGGGGATGCAACGCTTTGCCTGTTTCAGTTGGTGGAACTCAGCTTGTTGCCTGCATGTAAATTACTGGTCTTACGGCGCAAAACAGGAATAACAACACGACAGACACAGCTCTGCATTCCCCGGAGCCAAGGCTCACACTGTGTTTCCATGTCAGAGACTGTGGTGCATTGAGCCTTGTGAATGTGTTGGTAGAGCATCAATAGCTAAAAGTTGCAGCAAATACTCACAGTAATATGATGTCATTAGCCATAGATAACGCTTCACTACTGCAAGACGCATATAAGAGGAAAAGACAAGAAGCAATCAGGCCGACAAATTACCACCCACACAAACTCTAATAATATTACATTTCTTCAGAACTGTCCCTGTCAGTCAGAATGTTTGACAGTGACAGGAGGGGTTTGCTGCAGTAAACTCTTTAACACGCCGATGCTCAGGGCAAAGATTATAAACTAGGTCAAAATCCAGGATCACATTATTTACAAAAAATCCACACTGGAGTGGAGCACTGATAAAGCACTGGTAAAAGGTATTTCTCATGTCCTGGCTTATCAAGGTGATTCCAATTAGGATTTCCCATCTCCAGTGAAGGAATACGTGACTTTTTTTATTGTTAACTGTAAAGTTCTGTGTCATTTGGAATTAAACTAGTGATAATATCTGACGTACCAGTTACTGTGTGAAAATCAGCTGCTGTTCTTTGTGAGACCAAATGAAAGCGCAGGTGTTTATTTGTACTCTTACATCTGCCAAAGTCTGTTTAATAAAGACTCACATAATAATTGTTTTTCCAATGTGATATTTGTCAATTCATCTCACAGATGACAAGCTGCGACGTCAATATCTATTGAGTCAAATCACAAACATTTTTATTGATTTTGATAAATTAGTATGACACCTAGAAAGAACTAACAGATAAGACAGGTGTCGGGGGAGAATTTGTTGAGGCGCACATTGTGAGAGTCTCAAGAACTCGTATGTGACCTTTCTTGGGAAACTCGTGACCTGACCTAGTCTACGATCCATATGTGACTTGGACAGACCATATCATGTTCTTCTATTTACCCTTCTCCTGTTTTCCTGTCTGTCAAAATGATTGACTTGGTCCCACTAAGAGAGGGTCGCGGAGGTTCCCGAAACAACATCTGGTTACCATTCTTCGAACCTTCAAAGATGTATAAAAGCTCCTGGTTCCCCCCAGAAACTTTGTCAGATCTTCCTGCTCCTTTTGGGGGAAGGAACTTTCTGTCCCTTTTCAGCTGAATTGTAGTCATTTGACTTCTGTCTGTGCTTACGGCTTGTGCTGATGATTTCTGTATTCTTTATCATTTTTCTATATCCTAGTTAGTAATAAATACTTAATCACAAAGCAAGCTCAAGATACTTTTGATTTCTCACATGGGCTAAATCCACAAATTTCCACCACAACAGGTATTCCATCTTTTTTAGATTAATCTCAACTGCTAACTCCTGATTATTGCGCTGATGAGAAGCAATAAATACGACCACTGGGGAGCACTGCAGGATGGTTTATGAAGTACAGAAAAAAAACAGCAGCATCAGCACTTGGAAGCACCGGCTTGCTTTAAAATGTAGACGACACGGACAAAACAAGCTTGACAGTTAACAAACTGTGAGGATGCCACAACCGAGTGAATCCTGGAATTAGGAGGCAGGCAAGCGAGACTTGGTCCAGGTAAAAAAAGGGTTTATTTGTAAAAAAAGGAAGGTTCCTGATACACATCTCATCAAACAGATGAACAACAAAACAAATCCTAATTCATTAACTGAATCAACTCAACCTCATCTAACACGTGCTCTCAGCTACACAGATGTTCCACCATTTTCCCCCCAACAGTCAATGTCCTGCACCTTTATAGCGCCGTCAATCAACCCACCCCAGGTTGCACCATGTGCACAGGTGACACCCATTATGACACTCTCCCCCCTGTATACCTGGTCCAACCCGATGATGTCACTGCTGACGTCATCCCCTGCACAAACACTAGGCGTCACTCCCTGCCCTCCCCTCTAGCCTCCAGCACACCTGCCGAGCATGGCAAGCATCCAACACACATACCAACATGGGAACAAAGGTGAGTTGTCACCCACTTTGTCACATATCCCTCCCCTTACAATGTTACTCCTCGGAGTCAGCAACAATATTCTGGGGTCCCGGTCTGTACTGGATCTGAAAACGATAAGGCTGGAGAGAAGGCTGGTTCCTTTGATGATTCAGATAAGGGCACTTGCCAGTACCCTTTACACAGGTCAAGGGTGGTTAGGAAGTTAGCATTCCCCAACCGCTCAATCGGTTCATCAACCCTTGGCATTGGATAGGAATCAAAGGCAGACACAGTATTTAACTTTGAGAAGTTAACACAGAATCTCAGCTTCGGATCATCTTTCTTTGGAACCAAAACCATTGGGCTACACCACTCACTCCGCGAAGGCTCGATGATTCCTGTAGCCAGCATCTCCTCCACTTCCTGCTTTAATCCTGGGACCAGTCTGGCTGGAATGCGGCAGGTGGTGTCCCTGATTGCCCGCTGCGCAGGTGAATGAAGATGAATGTGATGGTCGATGTGGTTTGTACAACCTGGCTTTAGATTAAAGACTTCAAGATGCTTTTTCCGCCGATCTGGTAAAAAGAGTTCATACGTAACAGTACCAGCTTTTTTTGTAATCTGTAATAAGTTTTGTAATATGGCCCCTGCCACTTAGCCAAGAGACCACTGTCTGACGTTGGTAGCAATAAAAGAACTTCTTCTCTTGGATGCCTTATCATAACTCCTGTTCTGACGCTGCTGTGCGTCAGCCAGATGACCATTGGCAAGCTTCTGATATTGGTTCAGTTTGTCTCTCATTTTCAGGACATACGAGAGCTCACTGCACTGCTGTTGTGGCATAGGATGCCCTCCCAGGCATCCTTCAAGACATCCATGGGACCCCTCACTGGATGTCCATATAGCAGCTGGAAAGGTGAAAACCCTGTAGAGGCTTGTGGAACCTCTGTGTATGCAAACAGCACGAATGGCAGCCATCGTTCCCAATCTGACCCGGAGTCATTCACAAAGTTCTTCAGCATAGACTTGAGGGTCTTGTTGAAGCGTTCCACTAGGCCATCTGTTTGTGGATGTTAGGGACTGGTCTTTACACCCTGAATTCCCAGCATGCTGTACACTTCTTTTAGCAGGCCTGAGGTGAAGTTGGTGCCTTGGTCTGTGATGATCTCCTTGGGGATTCCCACTCTGGAAAACAGCTGAATGGGGCAGTTGACAATCTGGCGAGCCTTGATCTTCTTCAAGGGGAAGGCTTCAGGGTATCTTGTGGCAAAATCGCAAACCACCAGTATGTACCCGTGGCCTACACTACTCCTTTCTAGTGGGCCTACAATGTCCATTGCAATGCGGGAAAAGGGTGCATCTATGATGGGCATGCTAATGAGGGGAGCTCCATCTCCATTCCTGCCTAGAGCTGTTAATTGACACTATGGACAAGACAACAAGGCAACATTTCATTGTGTCCACGTACTGCTGGGGCCAATAGAAACGAGTAACCATTCTCAAAAATGTTTTAGCCTGTCCCAAGTGTCCTGCCCATGGGATACGAGTGGCTCAGGTTAAGGATTGTGTGCCTTAAACTCTGTGGAATGACTAACTGATCACAAATCTGGCTATACAACTTGTCTCCCTTGACCACAAATGCTTCCTTTCCTCTACCTATCACCTGGGTTGACACAGGCACACATTTAGCAAAGACCGTGGCAAGTGTGGAGTCCTCTCTCTGTAGCTTAGCAATGTCACTAGGAATCGGTTTAATAATAAAGTTTAATTCTACCGGCTACGCCACCTGTTCAGCAACTTTTGTTCCCCTTACCCTGTCTCTTCTCCTCTCTTGCTTTTCCTTTCTCTACAGTGGCTAGTGTGCTCACCCCCAGGGACTTCCTCGTTTGCAAATGGTAGCTCCTCCCACTCTGCTGAACTAACTTGTTCTTGCTTGGTTTTTATGGAGGACTAAAAGTGCCACAATTAAATAAATAAATACACCATTAAATAATTACTTAAATGTGTCATTCATTAATTAAAATTGGAATTAAATAAATAAATGTGTCATTAAATGTGTCATTAATTAATTAAAATACCGATTCATTGTATGTAAAATGCATATATAACTATTTCACTATTTACATTTACATTTCATGATCCTGCGTTGCAGCGCTTCATGAATTACTTAAAACTGTCAAACTGACCCATCAAAGTCAGTGGGCGGGGCTAACGCGAATCTAGTCTGATCCATTGCTTTGGTCTGAAGTACCTGGATAGAAACATGGAGGATCTCCGTGAACTTTCCAGGGAGTTGGTGAGAGACATTTTAAACTTAGCAGGGGATGTAGAAGCAGGACCTGCTGAGTCCGAGCATGTAGCTAGTAAAGCAGAGGAACTTATTGAAGTTGTTGGAGTCATTTCCGCACTTTCTGACGAAGATATCGACCACAGAGTAATTACAAATCTAGAAGAAGTTGTCCACCGCTTCTCTGGTACCAGGGCGCATCAGGCCCAACACACACAGGGACCGGGGCGTTTGCCGTTTGACATACCGAGTGCAGTTCTGGAGCATCAAGTTCTTTGTGGAGTTCCCGCAGTTCAAATCGCAGCGATGTTCGGAGTGTCAAAGAGGACCATCAGGAGGTGCATGCAACAACACAGTTTAAGGTATTTACACTAAATTCATGAGGTTTCTGTTTATCAATTGCTGCTCTCATACACTCTGAAAGAATATGGCGTTTAAGGTAACATTACTTGATGTTGTGTTTTTTTGTTTCTACAGAAAAACAGATCTCTATTCAGCTGTGAATGATGAGGAATTGGACCATATTGTAAGTGAAATTCACAGAAGTCATCCAAACACCGGCTACAAGCTAATGCGTGGTCACCTGAATGCAAGAGGTGTGCGTGTTCCAAGTGAGTATAATAATATGGGCATTATTTAAATGTATTTTTAATTCGGAGCTCTGCCCTTTTGAAAGGTGAAGGAAGCCCGCTTTTGGAAAGACATCGCCTCTGAGATGTAGAATGTGTATAATAGAAGAGAAACACACATTTCAGGACAGCTGACTTCTATCATCAGGATAGACATGTCCTGTGATTTTTAGCCTCCTGTTTAATAGAGGTGGAACAATATCTGACAGTAATATTCTCAGCTGTCCGGATGTTCCTCCCCTCAGTCTCAAGACTGCAAGAGTCTTTACGCAGAGTAGATGCAGAGGGAGTCTACATGAGACGTCTGAGGCTGCGTGTATTAAGGCGACGGCAGTATTTTGTGCCTGGCCCAAACTCTTTGTGGCATATAGATGGCCACCATAAGCTCATCAGGTCAGTGATATTAGCAGATAAACAATTCATCGTTCTAGATGTTTCATTACAATTGTTTCACAATAAAGTTGTATGTTTTCATGTCTTTGCAACAGGTGGAGATTTGTTGTCCACGGTGGGGTGGATGGATTCAGTCGTTTAGTGGTCTACCTGACTGTGGCTGGCAATAACAGAGCTCATACGGTCTTACAGAGCTTTATCGCCGCTGTTGAGCAGTATGGGCTGCCATCAAGGGTACGGTCTGATAAAGGGGGGGAGAATGCAGATGTAGCAGAATTCATGATCAGAAGCAGAGGTACCGACAGGAATTCACACATCACAGGCAGAAGTGTCCACAATCAGCGGTAAAGAAATATGTTTGGCAACTAGGCTCACACAACTAAAATACCAGTTGAATGTACTTTAGCATATGTCACATAAATTAACAATTTGACAATTTTATCCTAAACACAGAATAGAGAGGATGTGGAGAGATGTTTATGAACATGCCCTGGACCTCTTCTATCAGATCTTTACTTCATTGGAAGATCAGGGAACACTGAATCCAGACAATGAAGTCCATCTTTTCGCTCTGCACCTAATTTTTCCTTCCACTGGTTCAGCAAAGCCTAGACTCTTTTCGAGATGCTTGGAACTTTCACGGTCTGAGAACTGAAAGGAATCAGTCACCACAGCAACTCTGGAGACGTTACAGAGAGCAAGGCCCTGAGGAGGATCCTACTGAGGTTAACAATCAACTTTAAACACGTTTCTAAAGTGTTTGCCCAAAAGGAATTATGGGAGGAAAAAAATTGTGCTAAATGTGGTACTTTAAATGGAACATTTACTATATTGTCTTTAAAATCTCCCAAGCTTTTAAAGATCAACCTGTGAGCTGTAGTTTCTACGGTGCATACTACAGCTGTATTATTTCACAAAACTTTAATAACTAACAATTTCTCACTGACTTGGTGACCAAAAATAACAATCTTGTGTTAGGACATGTCAAACTATTTTTAAGTACAAGTTTGATTATGCTTGTCATCTTTTCAGATTCCTGAAGAGTATGGGATCGACTGGAACGGACCTCACAGCCTTCATGGAGGCACTGTGTCAGTCCCCGAGGTTCAGCTGGCCCGTGAGCTCTCAGATGAAGAGGTTGCAATTTTGCCAGCTCCAGGAGTTTCTGTTACTGATGCGCTTAGACTATATGTAGAGACTGTGGAAGTGTTATCAAGAATCTTAGACTGATGTCCGACACGTTTTTATTTTTTGTGTTAGAACAAGCAGTCAAAAACTGAAAGTTTGCTTTCCTTTAAAAAAAAAATATATATATATATGCCGAATAAAAATAAAATAAAAAGTCAACTGCTGCAGTGTGTTAATCAGTTTTCAAAGACACTGAACTTGTGTCTGAAAATACTTAAACAAGCCCAAATCCAGTACTTTTTATAGCAGCGACAAGTGCTTTCTCAAAGTCCATGTAGATCTTGAAATGAGCTGGCAGCTTTAGTGTTTCAAAGCATGTGGAGGACGTAGGAAGGGTTCCCTCAGAAATCACCACTGTCAGTTCAGGAGGAAGCATCTCCCAGCCAACCCAGGATGTCAGCAGCTGGGCCAGGGTACCTGATGAAGCTAAAAGTCATACAATGGATTGAAGACATTTAGTTCAACTTTATTTGATCATATCTATCCATGAGACATAGAAGCATTTTTAAAGAGAAATTAGGTTTATACCCGTTTCAATGAACATCCTTAGAAAGCCAGTGATGCGGCAGGTGGTGTCCAAGTCAAAGTCTTCATCATCACTGTCCTCAACTGGCCATGTGATTTCTTCTAGGAGCATCTTAAAGAAAACAAATTGTAATTTTAAAAAGGGAAACTGCAGATCACATTATTGGAAAATGGAAAAATAGCCAG